GAAACGCGCTTAGATCCTCTCTCATCTTATCTTCTCTATCATTGGCGGATATAAGCACATCTATAATAAAGTATAGTAATGTATAACACATTTATATGTTTGTCTACAAGGATATTATGTAAATCTACATGTTCATTTATCTTTGTATACTCTTGCATTAATTTATTCAATACATTAATTAATCCGATTGTCTAATAAATTGTTAATATAAAGTAAGTTAGGCTACTCATTAAGAGTTGTGTTCTAGTAAAATTTATTTTTTTAGTTCCAAAAGCCATTTTTACTTTCTCGTATATACGAAGTATAGAGAAAGTCTTGTAACCGTGCAAAAAAAAACGAGATTTTTACAAATCTTGACGTTTTACACCTCACTGATACGGAAAAACATAATTTTGCAATCTTGCCGTATGTCTGTGTCTGTGTGTGTATGTGTGTCTGTCTGTCTGTTTGTTTGTAAACACGATAACTTGAGTACCGTTACAGCTAGGTTGATGAAATTTCATATATAAGTATATTATCAAAATCGTAGATAGGTATCAACTTTTGAGCGATTTCCGATAGCCGGAAGTGGTATCTTTTCTACTTTGAATTTTTCAAAAGCCTATAACTTGAGTACTATTTCAGATAGATAAATAAAATTTCACATGTAAGTAAAAGATCTAATTCTCTACCTTCTGTCAAATTTTGAGTAATTTCCGATGACCGGAAGTACTAATTTACGCTATTTCCGATTTCTCAAAAAACGCATGTAAATTTATAAAGTACTAATAATATTGCACGCTATTATGCACATTTTGTTTTGGCGTTTGCTTGGTGCGCAATTCTTTTTTCTATGAGATTGTATTCTATTTTTAAAAGTTTAAGTAATTAAAAATCATGTCTATATTCCAAGTTATATAAGAATATTCGTGAAAGTTTAGGGGAGATCACTCCCGGTTTATTTTGTATCATATTTCGAATGAGATGGCCATCAGACAACATGATAGAATGGAATTTCTAAAGCTTTAGTAACATTACAATACAACATTATAGAAGGGACTTTATGAAGCTTTAGTAACATTACAATACAACATTATAGAAGGGACTTTATAAAGCTTTAGTAACATTGCATTACAACATGTTAGAAGGGACTTGATGAAGCTTTAGTAACATTACAATACAACATGTTAGAAGGGACTTGATGAAGCTTTAGTAACATTACAATACAACATGTTAGAAGGGACTTGATGAAGCTTTAGTAACATTACAATTCAACATGTTAGAAGGGACATTTTAAAGCTTTAGTGACATTACAAAGTAATTCAAACCACACGGCATATGTATTTTTATATTGTAAGGCTCAAATCTTCTATTTAGTTTGTATCTTTCACACTAAAGAATCCTCTTTAGACCTAGCGATCCATTGGCTAGTAGAAGTAGAGTTCAGATGTTTCTTGACATCGGCTTTACTTTCCCTAAGATGAACTGAGTGGAATCATGGACGGGTTAGCAGCCTAACGCTCTACCACATAGGCCACGCCGACTCTATAAAAAATACTCTTTATTAATTTCCTGGCCCGTATTTTAAAGCATGAGGCTTGTCCTGATAACTTCAATATCTTCCAAAAGACACGAGTTGTGTCACAAGTTTTAAACAATTAAAAAAAAAACACGTGTTAATTAGAAATCGGAACGCAACACTAAATATTTCTGGGGAAAAAAGGACAATAATGCATGTAACATTATGGTGCTACCATGACGGACTCGCGACTGCTGGGAGTACCTGAGTCCACGTACCTAAGTCCACCTAACTCTGATTGGTCCCTGACTACCGTTAGAGAAAATAAATAATGCTGAACACACTATCCCTTTCTATGCCAAGGTAGACTCTACTTCATCTGCCTTAAGTGTCTTGGGCACGAACGGAAAGATACACGTGTCTAACCAATACAATTATATGACTAAACAGTAGCTACACTATGTACGGTTTAGAAAATTTGAGACGTATCTAGCTGAGAAGCAAACGTATTGTAAAAATCTTGAAATCTCCGTTTAGTATCGTATCCAGTAAGGTTGCCTCAAAGCTGCGCAACCGCGCAGTAGTTGTAAACCTGCCGCGCAGTCATTTTGTAAAATGAATATTATCTAGGTTACGTTTTTTTTTCAAACTCCGCCCACACAAAATATTAATTAATTGCGAACACATCATCATAATCATTATTCCTCTGTGGGTCGCCTGTGGAGAATAGGGACAAAACCACACGACAACTCGCCATCCTACATGGTTCTGGGCGATTCCTCCAAGTTGGGTCCACGACATTCCGGCTGCTTCTGCTACAGCTGACCTTTCCCAAGTTTGTTTTTTGGCCTACCTACTTTCCTCTTTCCTTAGGGATTATAACCTAGCTAGTGCATGTCTAGTTATGTTGCTATTGGTTTACGCAAGATGGGTCAATCCACCCCAATTTTGCGCTTTTGTATTTCTTTGCCAAAAGTCTTGCCCAGTTTTTCTCCACAGCTCGGCATTGGTAATTTTTTTCAGGCAATCTGATATAATTGCTCATGCTAGTATCAAGACGTTCTAGTCTGCCACATATGGATTAACCACGGATTAAGTTGGATGTTGATCCACGTGCAGGAGACAGAGAGAAAAGATTGAGAAGGGATGATGAAAGACGAAAGATGTCTAAACTCTAAAGAAAAAAAAAGACAACACAAATTATCTTTCTACAAAAGAAGTGTATTATATCATCCATTTTTACAAACTTATTTGTACAAATATTGTTGATTCTAAACAAAATCAAATATTGAATAACTGATAAAATCAATAAATAAAACAATTTTATACAAGAGGGGAAGGGGTGAAAGTAAGAGAAAAATGTTGCTTGGAAAGTGCTGTCTTTAGTTTTACAATGTTTTACAGTTTAAAGATAGATTTTTTTGTATCTAGGTATTAAGTAGCGTTATAGATGGTGATGGTGTGCTGGGTGGTAGGGGATTATGTTTGACGTGTTGATATGTTGTGGGGGGGTGGGGGGGGGGGGGCGTGTCTGTGTTGAGTCATATTTGTGTCAGTGTGTCAGTGTAAAAATGTCAGCGTCTCATTGTGTCAGTATGTAAGTGTCAAGATGTCAGTGAAAAGATATCAGTGTGTCAGTGTAAAGGTGTCAGTGTTAAGATGTCAGCGTATCATTGTAAAGATGTCATCAAAATGCTATTTTCTTATGTAACAGGTGTATTACATTTACTTTTCCTAAACTACACATACAATCTCACTAATTAAAACATGAATCAATCAATTTAGGTAATTGAGTTGCCCTTCAATCATGAATTGCTTACGCCAAGGTTTTTAAATCATCCCTGTATTGACACAATGGATAATTAGTTATTTGTTTGTTGATTTTTATGTTTTGTTTGTTATTTTTTTTTTTGTCAATTTTGTTTTTTTAATTGTTGGTATTAATTTGTCAGACTTTTCACTAAAGAGTTTTGAGTATCATTCTATCACTGCACTTTGTAAAAGTTTTGATAGTCAGCTAGGTAAGGGAGAGAAGAATTGTGTTTAGTAGGGTCAAAGTATATTGAGCTGTAGAAGACGGTGATGGTTTTATAGAAGAAGGCGTATTATAATGGTGGTTATGTAGATAATACTGTGGGTTGGTGTTGTGGGTAAGTGTAAGAAAACGACGGTGCACATTGATTGTGGTGTGTGTTGATGATGGTGTGGGTTAGTGTTGTGTGTAGAAAAAAAAGGTGTGAGAAGATGATAGTGCACATTGTGCAGATTGTGGTTGTGTGGATGATAGTGTAAGTATGTGTTGTGGGTAGGTGTGAGAAAACGAAGGTGTAGATTGTGGTCGGTGTGGATGGTGGTGTGGGTTAGTGTTGGGTGTCGAAAAATGGTGTGAGAAGGTGACGGTGCAAATAGGTTATGGTTGTGTGGATGACTTTGTGAGTTTGTGTTGTGGGTGGGTGTGGTAAAATGATGGTGCACATTGATTTTGGTGTGTGGATGATGGTGTGGACTGGTAGATTGGGTAGATAATGGTGTGAAAAAATAATGGTGCACGTTGATTGTGGTTGTGTGGATGATAGTGTGGGTTAGTGTTGTGGGTAGAAAAATGGTGTGAGGTGATGTTGCACATAGATTGTGGTTGTGTATATGAAAGTGTGAGTGTGTTGTGGGTAGGTGTGGGGAAATGGTGCACGTTAATTTTGATGTGTGTATGATGGTGTGGGTTAGTGTTGTGTCTAGAAAAATAGTGTGAAAAAGTGGCGGTGCACGTTGATTTTGGTGTGCGGGTGACAGTGTGAGTTTGTGTTGTGGGTAGGTGTGGATGATGGTGTGGACTGGTATATGGGGTAGATAAAGGTGTGGAAAATGATGGTGCAAATTGTTTTTGGTGTGTGGATGATGGTGCGGGTAGATTAATGGTGTAGTCTCAAGGCCAACAAAGTACACGGTAGCGATACAGTCACATGGACTGGCATTAGGCCTGCGGGCCGGTCCTCCACTTGTGGGCTGGTCCACCAGTTGTGGGCCAAATGGTGAAACAAGTTACTTTGGTGTAGTTTCCAATACAGGTCTTTGTTTTCCGGCCGGATACTTGATGTCCGGCGGAGGAATTCATTTTGACCAGCATTGTAGTGGATGAAAGGTAATACTGTTAATGTACCATAAGCTCAGAAACTTCACAGATGTGAATTATATTGTTTTGTTTTTATTGCCGGTAGAAATTTCCGGCACTGCACTTGTTATCCATTCGTCAAGTTTGTTTATTTAAACCGGCTGTGCTGTTTGTAGATCGTACATTTCCGTAGCTGTAGTACATAGTTCAGCATGGGATCGGTGATTACCTTTGCCGGCACGAAGTGTATGAATGCCGGATTTTTTAAAAATATATTTATCGCTATCCGGATTTAACTGTGTGTTTTCCGGCTGTGACTGTTTGCCGGCACTAACTTTTTTTTTAAATTTGTTCATTTTCCGGCTTTAGTTATTCGCCTAGTCAGAGCTATGATTAGTCCGGTAGATGTACGTTGATGATCACATCAACTGTTATTTCAACTCCGCGGCCCAGACATGTTGGGGCCAGCCTGTTCTGCCCTTGGGTTTCTTCTCCGGACATGGACTCGAACCCTGGCTGCTTGCCTCGCTCTCACCGTCCTGTGGAACAGACAAAACATGGCTTTAGCTAATAGAAACACTAGAACAGTAAGATTAATGCTTACACTTCTTATACGATATATATATATATATATATATATATATATATATATATATATATATATATATATATATATATATATATATATAATGGCTAGTATTTAGATTAAGGTTGTGGTTGTGGGTTGAGAAATGTAGAGGTTTCGAGAAGGTGGATTATACTAGGGTTTGATTCTACTCGGGTTTTAGTTTAGACTATCAATAATTTTGGCAAGTGACGAATTAGGGTTGGTATCGACGTTGGTTTGGTTTAAATACTTGGTACATCTGAATGTGCATCTTTCTTACTAAGGTTAAATAAACAAGTAAACAAAACACGTAATTTTTCCCAAATATTTTTTTGTATTTTTACATTTTTATTAATTATTTACATCAACTTTATTTATGCTTACTAATCAATAAATTATCTTCATAAAAGTTTTATTTTTCAATATATATTTATTAAACAAACATGTAAATTTTACTAAACTCGGCTAATAACACCTGGTAAATGAATTATTTTAAAAAAGAAAGTAGCAGCACATCTTTTCAGTCAAAACATGCAAACCATAAACTGAGCACTTCAAATCTACTGATCTAACCAGACCCTATGGCGGATTGATCTTGAAGCTCTAGGTTTTTGAAAGACGGATCACAAACCTGAACAATAAATAAAAAATGTAAATCCGAGACGTAAAAGTTTCCCTAAAGGAAGTTCACGTGATGAAAGAATGACAGATGTTGGACAGAAATTTATGGCCGATTCAAATGCACCCTCTCCTCTGAAACCTGCGGCGCATTAAACCCGCACATGTAAACAGGTTTCACGTTAAACAACACATTAAACACAAACTACATGCAGTTCTGTTTCTTTTTTTTATATAAAGCTAGTTGAATCAGTGGTAAATTTACCATTGCGGTGTATCCCCCCCCCCCCCCCCCCCATTAGATCTAGATCAGAACTCTCGCTTATTCATAATGTATCATAGCTCACTGTGAAACCACTATACCCCAAAAAAAAAAATATTGAATACACTTTTTAAGGAATAACAACTGGTACTGTTAACTGATTACGTGAGTGTTTCTGAATGCAGAAAGCGCAATTAAATGAATAACATCCAAGCATGGACGTGTTTGATTCGTTTGCAGCATTCAATCTGAGGAAAAGTGGGCATGCCTGTAATAATTTTAATTCTGAGATTCTCGAGCCATTCTACGTCGTCCACATGGCTAAGGAAGCTTGAAATCTCCCCCCTCCCCCCCCCCAAACCTACACCCACCAACACACTTCGCATATGGTGCACTTTTTTTTATAATACGTATTAAAAAGTATATTTGTTTTGTAAACAGAAAAAAATTGTTTTTTTTTTTAATTGTGTTGTTGCTTCCCTTAACCCAAACTGCTGCTGATTACTTCCCTTACGAGTACAACATTCAGTGGACCCCCATGTCTACGATGACCCCTGATACTGTAAGTACATTCCAATTACCCGCCCGCTAACTAGACACAACCTTTTTCTTTCTCTAATGTTCATTCGTAACGCTTAGAAAACGCATGTTTAAATTTCGTTTTAAATTTCTTTTTCTTTTTATTATTTCACAAGCTAAACAAAAACATAAACTTAAAAAAGAAAGAAAGTAATTATATTAAAACCAAACGAAACTTTAATTAAAAACATCATTTTTAAAAAAAAGTTCAGTTACCCACATGCTGACTAAAGGGGAAGCAACTCGCGTCCGCAGGAGAGGCAACCCCCGTGTAGCCCGACCCTAAGTCCCGCCAATTGACCCGGGTTTACGATACAATTAGAAATGGTGCCTCCATCATTTTATGTCAGCCGGCGAAGACAATTTGCACGGCGAACTCGGGTCGACCCGGGTTTATAGAGGGGGAAAAAAATAATTTTACAACCATCTCGTGCACTTTGGTGCGCTTTTTTCAATCTTCGTCAGGGCGAATGGCAACCGAAGGCTACAAATTTGCGAAACGCCATTTTCGAGTGCCAAGCGCATTTGATTGGCTATCAACATGGCGTTAATGCGCCCCCTACACGGTGGGCGGCAGGAGAAGATAACTTCTCACCCTGGGAAACATAGATAATCTCGCGAATTCGCCCCCACCCCCCACCTATTCACTCCCCCTCATTCTTAGTTGTTTTTTTTTCTTTTATAGTTTTCTTCATTGTCGGGAAATGAAGTATTTTAAAAGATGATAATATTTAAGTTTAAGTGGGGGTATGGCGTGGGGAGGGGGGGGGGGGGTATTTTCCATCATTTTGTCTTTTTTTTCCCCTGAAATAATAGCCTCCCTTGATCTGTCGATGTGGTGGTGGAGTTATCTTCTCCCCTTTGTTCTTTGATGTACATGTGCATTGCACACGTATTGTCGCTAAACGCCACTGGATGCACGCAAACTGCACTTAATGATTTGGTTTAAACCCTGCTATAAACTATACTAAATCTAAGGTTATACTTTCCTACATAAACTAAACTTTTTTTTTTTTACTAAGCACTGCTCTATAAGTTACTTTTTGATAAAAATCATTTTCTGAGCCGCTTGAAAGTTTTGAAATGTCTTGGGCCTTCCAACAGATATTTTTGGAGATGGTTCTGATACTATATGAAGGGAGATGTGTTCAGCTATTGTAACAACCACTTGCGGCCCGTGGACCGTAAGTTTGGGAGTCGTAAGTGGCAGAAAGTTTGGGGTAGTTTGTGGCCGTAATTTGGGGGTTGTCGGTGGCCAAAAGTTGAGAATCGTCTGGGACCGCAAATTGAGGGTTGGCGGGGGCCGTAAGTTGGGGTAATTAGTTGCCAAAACTGGTGACCGTAAAATGTGAATATGGTTGAAGTAAAATAATTCAATTTTAAGAGCATACTATCATACTGTTTGATTAAACTAATATACATATTAATTAAATACGGTATAAATTTAAAAAAGGTATAGATTAAATTAAATTAAAATATAAAAGCATACTACCAAAATATATTGGAAACAAATGCTCATTATAAGGATTGTCCTCATATTTAAAAAAAGCAAGTACTTTACTGGCACGGTTAAGTTAAAAACAAAATATTTTTCACTATTAACAAATAGTTTTAAAAAGTGTGCTAAAATGTTTTTATTTCTCGAGTGCTAAAACTTTACTTTAAAATCTGGTGTTGGGTTAAAAACAAAGTATACTGTCAATTATAATTGAGTAAAGTATAAAAAGTATACTTTATGGCGAATGAAAGCAGTGCAGTCCGCACGGCAATGCCGTAGACAAAAAAGTATAACGGGCATCCAGATGGTCAGCCGATAGGTGCATGTCGATTAAACGTCAGGATAGAATGAATTGGTCGGCCATAAGAATCATTCGTCTGGCCGGCATTTGGTGCACTTGGACCAAAAAAATTATTTAGGGGAGGTCTCGTAGTTTTGTTGGTAGATGAAATGGAAGGGGGGGGGGGTTGGATTGAGAGGTGGGGTGGATTGGTAGGAGGTGTGGATTGACAGAGGGGTGGGTTTGTGCAGATGCAGGTTGTGGAAAGTGTGAGACATTGATTATGGAGGGGGGGGGGCATTTAATTGTTTTGGATAAGGCGTTGAGATTAGAGGCTATGATTATTGGTGAAGCTTAGAAGGTGTTTGGATTTACAGGTGCTAATGGGAGGGGGGGGGGGGCATTTAACCATTAAATGAGACATCAGACAATAGTTTTAAGCAGCTGGGCGATGAGCCAGGTTTATGGCCCTGGCCCGTGTTGCTCGGCTCTGGCTCCAAGCGTGGGGCCAGTTTATGGCTGGGGTGTGGGGGGGGGGGGGGGTACACCCCGTATGGGTGTTTATAGTTGGTGTGTTTGTGTATTTCGTCTGTGTGTTATAATCTGCTAGTGTGTGGTTGTATTTCGTGTGTGTGTTTATGGTTGGCGTGTGTGGGTATATTTCGTGTTTGTTAATGGTTGGTGTTTCTGTGAGTGTATTTAATGTGTGTGTCTATGGCTGGTTGTGTGGGTGTATTTCATGTGTTTGTTATAATTTGTGTATTTCGTGTGTAACATTTCATCCCTTGTGTGAGCATCAGTATATTTCATGTTGTGGCTTACATTTATGATTACGTATTATGTGTAAGTGTTTATGGTAACTAATTGTGAGTGTATATTATGTGTAAGATTGGTGTGTGGCGAGTGTGTGTTGTGTATGAATCGATGTGACTTGTGTGTTCGAATATGTATTCTGGTATTTGTGAGTGAATGTATTAGACGTCCATGGCTTTTAGTAATACAATATGTTGGCCTCTAGTAATCCACTTAAGCTGTCGGGTGTGATTGTATAAAGTCAAATTATTGTCGTCCAATTGTATTGGGTTAAATAATTCGGTTGAAACTGACATGTAATCGTATTAAAACAATGCGATTGAACCTCTCATGTAATGATGTTACACCAGTGCTTCTAAATCTTTATCGAGGTACCGAACCCGATCAGTTTTAAATACACATTCACCGAACCCTTATATTGTCCGTACTGACAAAATCCTATTGTGAATCATATAAGTCGGATGTGTCTTGACCTCCGCCGAACCCCGAGACTAACTCACCGAACCCCCTGGGGCTCGATCGAACCCACTGCACTAGACCATAGACAGCTATACGACACACTGAAGGTTTCAATCTAGACAACCAACCTAAGCATGTAACACACGGACCCACGCAACAGGAAGTACTTAGTATCGTCTCATGGCGTGACTATAATGAGTTTACCTAATCCTAATCTAAACCCATATGACCCAGGGTCGTTAACCCGGCGGGGAAGGGGGGATTGGTAGTATGTACCGTTAACTTCTGGTGGACTGTGGGAAAAGAATTTTAACAGTGTAATTGTAAAACTAGGTTAAACAGGTTTCGGTACTAGATTAAATAGAGGATAGGGGAGATAATTAAGACTCTGTTTTAATAACTAGGATCGTTTGGTACAAAGAA